GCGTTGACAGAGAGGAGAAGGTAGAAATGACTCAGCCTGGAACTGAAAATATGGATGGAGGACAACAGAGCTGCTTCATGGAAGAAGAACCTCAGCCTAGCCTGTTAGCCTTTGCGCTAGCGCCGACGTTATATTGCCTTATATGTATTAGCTCGGTGCTAGCACGACAAACAAGCTAAACTGAGGTCCTCCATCCATATTTTCAGTTGCAGCCTGAGTCATTTTTGTGTTCCCCTCTCTGTCATGTGGATGGAGGACCTCAGTGACGAGAGGAGAATGTGTAGCTGAGCTAATACATATAAATGTTGATAGCCTGTGACCTATCCACGTCAGCATTTACCCATAATGCTTTGCGTGTAAACAAAATGGCCCCGTCCGTGTAATATATTTTTAAACTTTTACTTTAAAAATTTTAAAAACTAAACATCCTACAGTATCTTTACAGTCTTTATTTTACTGTTAAATTATATGTTTATTAAATAAAGTCTTATGTTACAACTAATCATGGATTCCTTTAATAAACCGGCAGGCACAACAGGGTTTAACGACTTTTGCGAGGGAACGCAAAAAGAAAAAAAAATCCCCCATGTCCCCTCGCGGGCTCAGCAATTTGCCTAGGCATAGCACACACATTAAAAAATTCCTTCAAAACTTATACTCAGCAAAATATCTAGATTTAAGATGCTTAGTTAGATGGCAAAATGCAAATATGTTTATTAAAGCGCTCCCTATCTGTGTATAAGTCTGGCTGTTTTTCTGCTCTGTGCTGGTATGCCATAGTTACTACTACTACTACTATTACTACTAATAATAACAGATAAAAATGGGACAAATAGGTTTCCATGCTCCTCTGGATGCATGGAAACGCTGCTGCTTTTCAGCTGCATTTCTCCTGCTCTGCGGGCTTGGACCCCTAATAATAATCAGGTCAAAAACAATAGTGCCTAACCCTGTTTCACAACATTCACACCATAGAAGTATGTCAAATATAAAACATTTTTTCACTTGTTCTAATTTAATTTTTGAAAGTTTAGTTACAGTATTTTTTTTATAATGCTTAAAAACTGTTTAATCGGTGCATCCTTATCTAAAAGTCCTGAGGCAGTTGGAGCTGTCTGAGAACTAATCTTTTATGACTTTACTCTGACAGGAGACGCAGGCAGCCTTGCAGCAGCAGTCCAGTGTAAAGCAGAGCTTGGAGCAGCAGACTGAGAAGCTCTGTCAGATCTGTGAGTCTGCTGATGCCCAGCTGCTCCACAGCAGAGTAGAAAGCTGCCTGCAGCCATACGTGGAGGCTCAGAACTTAGCTGAGCTTCAGTCAGAGTGCCTGGAAAGGCTGGAGGCCTTCATGCAGAGCCACGGCGTGGCGGCCGGAGTGCTGAGGGGTCTGAAGCAGACTGTGGAAAGTGCTGGGAGCTGGGACCGTGGAAGAGTAGAGGAGCTTCAGCAAGAACTAGCCACCATTGTTCCTGACATAAGTCATCTGGAGTCTCTGGCTGTGAATCTGGACAGCAGCCTTTGCAAAGGTCATCTCCACATCAGCGCAGAAGATGGTTCTCATAAGACGTGCTGCATGCTGGCTGATTCCCTCAGTGCTGAACTAGATGCAGTCAGGAACTTACTGGGTTCAAAGCAAAGTGAAGCAGAAGCCCTGGGTGTTCTGTGGACTTCATTTAGACAACAAAAGGAACAGCTGCTCAAAGCAGTGGAGGACATTGAGGAAAAAGCTGAGCAGCAGGCCCTAAAAGAGCCCAGCCTGCATTGTCTACAGCAGCGGTAATGTTCAGCATGATTTAAATTAAATTCATTTCTATGAGAGCTCTGCAGCCTTTGCTGTCAAACCAATTAAAGGTGGTCCAGAGCCACAGAACCTATGTAAAGATTAGAATAAATATGAAAATTGGACTCATACTACATTAGTACTACATTTAAAAACAAGTTTGTTTCGTGCTTAAATGAAAGAACTCAAACTCGAGACGTTTCTCAATATTGTTTTAGTTTAGGGCAAAAGAAAAGCCTTAACTTTTACAAAGAGGGTAAAACATTTTGTATACTCCTTTGATCAAATCTAGAAACCTGTGTTAGTCTCGAATACATCTATGGAAAATAACAAATTACCCCACTTTGAAATATTAATGCATCACTGCACCTCAGTAAATTACTTACACTGCAAAAACTGTCCATCTTACCAAGTTTTAAAATCTTATATCAGCCAAAAAGTCTTTTTGATTTTGTTTTGAGACTGATTTACTAAACAAGAACTGATTAATAATAATCGAGTTTTCACAAAGTGTAAGATTATGTAAAGTAAAAATACTTG